ATTTATGAGAAAGTTAAACCACGAAATAACGTAGTTTATCTCTTAAAACCGGAAGTTTAAAGCTTTTTTTCCGGTGGAATCTAACATATTTCAAAACAGCGAAAGGGATGCAATAAAGAGATGAAAGTTTTAATTTTAAAAAGAAAAGTTGAAATTTTCGATTTCTTTGATCACTTCCTGTGATGACCGGAAGTGACGGCTGACGCTTTTAACCCTATGTGTTTTGTCTTCTCACCAAGTTTTATTATTCCTGTAAGTTTGGTGTCTTACTTTCATGCCGTTTTCGAGATCTCGCTGAAATAACTTTTCATTTTGAGGACAAGAAAACACGCGACCGGAAGTAAATTTTACTAAGATATTTCACGTCACTCTAGACATCTGCTGTCTCAACAACATATATAAAAATCATTTAAAGAACTCTATCTATAAGCGATATGTTGGGGAAAATTCAAAACCCCTATTATGTAGTTTTTCTCTTATAACCGGAAGTTGTCGTTTTTTGTTTCCGGTGGGAACAACACATATCGTAACTGTGAAAAAGATACAATTATATGATGCAAGTCTTATTCCAAAAGAGAAAAGTTGAAATTTTTGATTTCTTTGATCACTTTCTGTGACAACTGGAAGTGACGACTGACGTTCTTAACCCAAATAGTTTTGTCTACTCCTCAAGGTCTAATACTCCTATAAGTTTAGTGTCTAAATCTCTTACCGTTTCTGAGATCTCACTCGGACAAATTCTCATTTTGCGGACATTTAAACGCGCGACCGGAAATGAATTTTACAAAGATATTTGACGTTACTCTAGACATTTGCAGTCTTGATAACATATTTAAAAATCAGTTCAAATACATTATTTATAAAAAAAATATTTATGGGAAGGTAAAATACTCAAATTATGCAGTTTTTCGCTTATAACCGGAAGTTGACGTTTTTGTTTCCGGTGGGACCAACATATTTCGAAACTACAAATGAGATGCAATAATCTGATGCAAAAAAATATTCAAAAAAGAAAAGATGAAATTTTCGATTTCTTTGATCACTTCCTGTGACGACCGGAAGTGACGGCTGAAGCTCTTATTCCAAATGGTTTTGCCTACTCCTCAAGATCTATTAACCATAAAAGTTTGGTGTCTTAATATCTTACCGTTTTTGTGATATGACTGGGACAAAATGTTTTTGAAAAAAACGGAAATCGGACATATCTGACGACAGGAAGTGAATTTTGAAAAAATGAAAAAAACGCCTGGGGGTATTTTCATTCTCTATCATCCCTGAAAATTTCAAGAAAATCCGTCCAGCCATCTCTGAGAAATCGAGGGGGACACGAAAAGGGGAAAATAATAATAATAATAAACACTACAATCACTATAAGGTCTTCCGTCTGAAACGGAAGACCTTAACTAGAAACTCATTGCGAGCAATGAGAGGTCTTCCGCCCGATTCTGAAAATAAAAACAAAAAATCACGCTGAAAAAGTGATAAAAGAAATTCAGCGTGAAAATCCAAGAAAGCTAACCATTAACCATTCACTTTTTTGCATCACTTCCTGTCACCACCGGAAGTAACGGCGATACAAGAATTTCTCACGATTCAAATAAACTGATGACTGACTATCAGTCCTGAAAGTTTTAGACTTCAGTCGTTTACTATTGCCGAGCAATATTGTGAGAACAAATTCTAATTTTGAGGACAGGTAAACACTCGACCGGAAGTGAATTTCATAAAAATCTCTGCAAACTTTTTCAATCAAAAAGATGAAAACATACATAAAACTCCTAGAAGACTCTCTATTAACCCTGTAAATCCCAGAGAAAAATATTGAAAAACAAAAAGTTGCAAATTTAACATTTGAATTCACTTCCGTTTGCGACCGGAAGTAAGAACGACGAAAAATAATGGTCGATCACCATATCTACATTTGATGCTCTATCACCTCAGCAAGTTTCATATTCATATCTTTAGCCATTCTCTGATGATACTGTTTACTTTCTTTTATTCTTTATGTATTCAACTTTTTATTTCATGTAATTCCATATACAGGCATGTCCATGTAATCTTTTTCTGCACTTCTATATACTTCTGCATCAGACCATTTGTCTACTACGAAAGGTTGGTCACGATACATCATTTCGCGCGAAACGTCACGGGTAAATATTCGCGCATTTCCTTTGGAATGTATTTTCTATTGAATGGTGATAGCTTCAATGAAATTTCAAAATGTTCTTATAACCTAAATATCGAGCTTGAGAAAGTATATTTATCATATTGTACTTATTATATATCGTATGGTTAAGTAACACTAAAGCAGTGATTTAGGTAAGATTTTCTACAAGTTTTATTTTCCTGTTTACCCCCAAAGTGGACTATCCCGATTAGTTACACATTCATGAAAAGACTGGAATGTTTCGCCCAAAAACACGTCTCGTCCTGCGACGGTCAAGGAATCTGATACCATTTATGTTCAATAACAACATCTTTTAGAAAAAAAATATTTATATCAACTTCATTAAACAATCTTTAAAAAAATGGTTTTCTTATTTTGTCTTTTCTGTTCATTTAATATGACACAAGCCTGCATGGGGAAAAACAATGGCCACGTAATAATTACTATATATTAATTCCTTTAGTCAGGAAAGTTTCTTGAAAAGCTTTTACTTATAACCATGGTTTAGGATCAGTTTTCCGTGGTGTAAAACAAAAGGTTGTAGTTATCGTATTTCCACTTGTAATCATGTCGTTTTTCTACTTTGAGATACAGACAAGAACAATTATAGTAGACGTTTGAGGAAACCCCGGATTAAAACTCTAGTTCGAAACAGAATTGCAACGTAATTGTGATGTGACAATCCAACAATTCCTTCACATTTCTTTGATGCTTATGGTACTTTCATTCAAACAAACGCTCGGCTGACTCCGTAAATTCTGACCTACTTATCGGAGTTTACGGAGACAGCCGCCATTTTGGACCCGCTTCAAATTTAGAAATGCGAATATCTAGAGTTTGGATTGATCAATTCTAAAATAAATTATATATTAAGCATTTTCAGAAAAGCCTCTATTAACCTTATTAAAACATAAGAAAAATATAGAAAAACAAAAAAGTTTAAAAATTCGACTTTTTTAAATTCGCATCCGGTAACGACCGGAAGTACTGACGACGCACAAAAAGGTAATTCCCCTCATCTAGAAGACATAACCTATCATCTCTAACAAGTCTCCAGTTCATATCTTAAACCATTTTTGAAGAAAAGGGGGGACAAAATCTCATTTTAAAATCAGAAAACTGTCAATAACTTGGCACCGGAAGCGAGTTTTCCAAATTTTCCTTCTGATGAACAAAGTCCATTTGACGACGCATAATTCCTGAAAGTTTCATTTAAAACCACTGAATAGTTTTTGAGAAATCGGCTGCACAAAATTTTGGGGAAAAAAATAATAATAAGAAGAAGAAGAAACAGTAGAATCACTATAAGGTCTTCCGTGAAGACGGAAGACCTTAATAATAAGAAACAGTAGAATCACTATAAGGTCTTCCGTGAAGACGGAAGACCTTAATAAGAAACAGTAGAATCACTATAAGATCTTCCGTGAAGACGAAAGACCTTAATAAGAAACAGTAGAATCACTATAAGGTCTTCCGTGAAGACGGAAGACCTTAATAATAATAAGAAACAGAGTAAAAACAATATGTTCCCAAACTTCGTTTGGGGAACATAATAATGTTTCATTCGTCACACTAAAGGACTGCTCATCTGAAATAATGGCGATGACAAAGAGAAGAAATCACAAACTTTATGCGCGATATTAAGTAACTATTTAAATATACACATATATTAGGGGTTTTTTTAATTACATTTGTTTATTTATTTTTCAAAATAAAGTTTTTTTTTTTTTTTGTTTTTTTTTTTTTATACATATTAAGCAATGATACCCGTGCGATCACACATAAAGAGATATTTTGTAGATCGATAACGAGGACATATATGTTATTATTATACCTCTGTCAATTTTTTCTATATAAAAATATTACGAATAAACATGCTATTTTTTCCAAACAGCCCCTACCGTGGAATAGTTTTTGTGCTATTTGCCCATGGTGAAATAGTCATTAAACTATTCACCGGCAGCATTCTGTTTCCCTCGCTTTTCATCTCGGAACTCTTCTGGTTTTATACAGATTGTGACGTAACACAAGTAAAGACTGCTTCGGTATAATAAAACACTTATTTACTGACTATTCGGACAATAGCAAATTTATCGTTCCCCTCGACAGCAACTATTTCCCTCGGCTGCGCCTCGGGAAATAGTTGCTGTCTTGGGGAACGATAGACTTGCTATTGTCCTCATAGCCAGTAAATAGGTGTATAATGTTTCAGAAAATGAGAAATCACACACAAAAATCAATGAGACGAATTTGTGTGTGTTTGAGGGTGGTGTGTGTGTGTGTGCGCGCACGCGTGCGTACACATGAACAAATTTTCATTTCTTCAGAATTATGCATAGATTGGAAGTTAATTATGCCGAACAAACCACAGGCACCTGAAGTGTGGGACCCCCCCCCCCCTTTCAATTAAAAATATACTACAAGCCTATAATTTCTCAAAAACATAAGATTTCCCCGTCTATGATGTCAATATGTCGTTCTATGAAAGCAGATGGTACTTTTTCTTACGTTTAGAGATTGGCCATGTATGGTATAATAAAAATACAATCTCTAAACGTAAGAAAAATACATTTTTTTTTAAAGAAATCTATACTCACTTCATTAAAAACCTACCGGGTAACGAAATATCTATACTTGCTACTATATTTTATCACTTATCATTGGAAAATGCAATGTGTTAAAGCATATTTAACTTCAGTTTTATCAGTTTTGTACTGGAGAACTTATCTTTTGAAAGTAATACAAGGTGCAGTGATAACAAACCCCGATTCATCATGGCAATCGGCGCGTTCCTTTGTCTCCAGGGCTTCACAAGTGGGGAAGGGTAAGGAATACCTCAGAGACGGGAGACGATCCCGAGAAGATGGCGGTACTTGTGACTTTGTCAATCCTTCTTTTGTTTCCTGTGATTCTGGATTCCAAGCTCACCTATATAGCTATACGTCTCCCTTTACAGGTACGTGTGTGTATATTGATAAAGGATTACACTTTGTCAGACATTTTGATGAATTTTAATGCGAATGTAAAAATGTATGTATACTATTGATATAAGGATGTATATACCTTACATTGTTCTCTACACAAAATCTAATTTAACTGTGACAGTTTAATAAAATGTAACTTTTTAGGTGATTGATATTCACATCGTATATCGTTTTGATAAATCAGACATCAAATCTTAAGCAAGATCTACACCGAATTTCCTCATCCACAACATCTTCGCTAGCCAAGAGTTTCTGATACGCTACTCTCCTCATAAACCCTTGGCATACGGTGCTGACAAAAGACGGGATTGTTTTCGTCACGTGATCACGATTCTTACCAGGTACGCACAGATTGCGTCATCGACAGAAATAAAAAGCGTATTTCAAAAAAAATAATGTTTTTAAAGAATAATTATCAAGAAGGTATTGAGTTATGTTAATTTGTTATTTAAACATGTTAAAATGCAAATCTACATCTTCAGTATTGATTCTTAATCACATATTTTGCACGTATAGCTTAAGATGGATGACACCATATAGCTATTTGTTATCTTACGGATCGTTGTTTACTTGCGTTTTTCATTCCCGATATTAAAGAGTCAAGATATATCCCGAACGCAATATCGTCATTTACAAAAAACAACTGGTGATTGGTCGAACGATGTTGATCAACTCCAATCACAATTTGAGAAAAAAATCCCAACTTTTTTTTACACCGTATGCCAAGGGCTTATGAGGAGAGTAGCGTATCAGAAACCCTTGGCTAGCGAAGATGCATCCACAACAATTAACTGAAAATCAGAGAATATAATCTAACAACAGATCAGAGAATATAATCTAACAACAGAAATGTAACGCTGATATTAACTCTTTTGTGATGAAAGTCATTTCAAAGTCTCACTTGCAAATTGTTTAATTAAAAACTTGTCCTTGGGCAAACGACATTAAATCTAGGTTTCGGTAGATTTATTTTGTAAGACAGACGCATGGGTAACATTCAGTAACTCTTAATTGTGACTGTAGAGGTACTTTTTAATTGGCTGCACTTCATTCCAGAATTCCAATAAAATATTTTACTTTTCATTTCCGACATTTTTCATTTCCACATTCATGAAATAGTACCTTTTCGACATTAAAACGGAACTGAAAACTTTCCTCATAAAAATCTTAAAACAATAAATCATTGAGCAGTCTGTCAATATCCAAATAATAAGTAAAACAAGATGTGTTTGTGAAACACTGATGCCCCCGTATGGCAGCTCCTGGCGAGGGTTATAGTTTCTCAAATTTATACAAATCAAACTCTAAGGTGAACAGATAAAAAAATGTTGATACCCAAAGAAAGGTCTTTTCACAAGGAATACAATTGTGAAATATGAAAGCCATAGCACCTAGCATTCAAAGGTTATGGCCAAGGTTAAAGTTTTTCAAAAGTAGGTCAAACTGCAATGACAAAAGGTCAATACTATGGGTACCTTAGGAAAGGTCTTGTCACAAAAATACACATGTGAAATATGAAAGCCCTAAAAGTATAGCAAACTCCAAGGTCAAGGTCAAAAGATCAAAATTGTTGTTACCCAAAGGAAAGTCTTGTCACAAGGAAGATATCTGTGAAGTATGAAAGCCCTAGAACTAACTATTCAAAAGTTATGGCCAAGGTTAAAGTTTTCAAAAGTAGGTCAAACTCCAAGGTCAAAGGTCAAAAATTATTGGTACCCAAGGGAAAATCTTGTCACAAAGAATACACATATGAAATATTAAAGTCCTAGCACCAACTGAAAAGAAATACACTTGTGAAATATGAAAGCCCTAGAACCAACTGTTCAAAAGCTATAGCCAAGGTTAAAGTTTTCCAAAAGTCAGTCAAACTCCATGGTTAAGGTCAAAATTGTTTTCATCCAAGGGAATGTCTTGTCACAAGGAATATACATGTGAAATATGAGATCCCTAGCACCAACTGTTGAAAGGTTATGGCCAAGGTTAAAGTTTTTTTTCAAAAGTAGGCCAAACTCCAAGGTCAAAAGGTAAAAAAAATTGTTGTACCCAAAGAAAGGGCCTATAAAAACACATGTGTAATATGAAAGCAATAGCTTGAACCAATCAAATGTTATGGCAAGGTTAATTTTTTTGCGGACAAACAGCTAGACGGACGGACGGGGCAAAAACTATATGCCCCCGAATCTTCGACTACGGGGACATAAAAAATTCGATTAGACTGTTATTGCAAGCAAAGTTGAAGTTTAAAATCATTCATAAATTTGGTGGACATGATAAATATTAAATAACCATGCAAACTTTTAACCCGTGTGGATTGACAGTTAAAATTTCTATTTCCACCTACCTGGTTTTCGCTTGCGTGGCGCAGTGGTTAGTGCGTTTGCTCTAGAATCTCGGTGTAAGGAGTTGATCCTTACGTCGCAGGTTCAAATCTGTTAAGAATGCTTAAAGCACATTTACACCATGCCGTGAGGCCCACTCTAGATTCACCATACTGAATGGAGTCTACCGCCCCCCTCCACTACCCCCAGTATACCACTTGTCTTCCTATAAACAATTAATCGACTCAGCAAATTAAAACCAATGGTTCAGATATCTACCTTTGTGTTTTATGACGGCTACAACGCTAGCTCACCTATCCTTTTAAAAGATAAGCTTGTACTGTTTAATGTTGAAGTTCCTAAGCGACCCTGACAGGGCTTGTTTTATAACAGGGGAACAGAGCAGCTCCCGGAGCTCCTTGGCCTTTACCAAAAACATGGAGGAACAGCACTGAGAGATTCATATTCGATTCGACTAAATTTCAGTTTATTTCATCCATGAAGTCTTGTGACATCTTTTCATCCGCCTTTGAACGATATCACAAAATATTAAAATTGGAGAAAAATTCCATTGTATCAGGACCTGAAGAGATTGTGACGTCATTGAATATTGTTGTTAAGGAACCGTCCTGTCCAGGATACCCCGGTCCAAACATGGACGAATCGTGTGCGTAGTCCAAACTAGAAAATGCTTTCATTCCGATTAATTTAAATCATTTGGACAGATATTTTAATTAAAAATGATATATTGCTTTCTGAACTTATCAGATAATTTAACAATCTCTGCAAATCCTCAACTGACGTCTGTAACAGCATGGGGTGCTCTCAGAGGTAAATTTTGATTATTATTAAAAATTAATTATTATAATTAAAAATTGTAAATTTTTGCAAATTTTGTATACTTTAAAACTTCATGTTTAACTGTGACAATTCAAAATTATAATGTACGTGTAGGGAGAGGGCTTAATAAGTTTTCAGAACTTGTGCCCAATCCGTTTGTAATTATAAATTACAATAAAATATGTTCAAACCAAATATTAAAATGATTTCTATATTCTACTTCTGAATTTTCGAATAATCTCTTAAGAACCATTCATTCTGCTGGTGTTTGAATATTCCTTTAAAGCTTATTCAGTCATATGTGGTCTGAATATGAATTGGAGTTTAGAAACATTCAGTAAGATTATGTTCAATAATTCTTTTGTTTGGAAACATTCATTCTGCTGATGTTCGATTTAGAAAAAAAAAGTCAGCTAATGTTTGATTATTTCTTACAGGCTTAGAAACATTCAGTCAGCTTATATACAAAGAGGTGGAAACAAACAGGGTGAGCGCAAAATACAAGAAACACGATGAGCTCACATAATATATACAAGAAACACGGTGAGCTCACATAAAAAGAATACAAGAAACAAAGTGAGCTCCATAAAAATATACAAAAAACACGATGAGCTCCATAAAAATATACAAGAAACACAGTGGGCTCACATAAAAATATAAAAGAAACACGGTGAGCTCAATAAAAATATACAAGAAACACATAGAGCTCACATAAAAATATACAAGAAACACGGTGAGCTCAAATAAAAATATACAAGAAACACATAGAGCTCACATAAAATATACAAGAATCACGGTGAGCTCAATAAATATATACAAGAAACACGGTGAGCTCACATAAAAATATACAAGAAACACAGAGAGCTCATATAAAATATACAAGAATTACGGTGAGCTCAATAAATATATACAAGAATCACGGTGAGCTCACATAAAAATATACAAGAAACACGGTGAGCTCACATAAATATATACAAGAAACACGGTGAGCTCACATAGAAATATACAAGTAACACGGTGAGCTCACATAAATATTAAGCATATGAGTTACAGAAATGACGTAACATAATATAAAGAAGAAAAATTCCCGTGATCAAGATTTTCTCTATCACTAACGTTTTTACCCAATTTACATATTTTTTCAATCAAAAGTTTTAAACTCCATTTTCTGTACATGATCGATCACGTTCACCTAATCAGCTTGTATTTTGAAGCTCTACATCAACAAGACAACTATAACTGACGAGCCTCGTTTTAATCATCGTGGTATCATGCTGGACACTGCAAGACACTATCTTCCCATGTCCATTCTATTAAAAAATCTGGTGAGTCTCTATCCCCGAATCTTTTTCAACTCATGTATATATTGAAATATTGATTAATTAAATTAATGACAAGCATGATATGTTAAATAGGTGCAAGGTACTTCATACCTGTTATATACTTCGTATAATTGTTTTGCATTTCAGGACGCGATGGCTTATAACAAGTTTAATGTGTTTCACTGGCATATTGTGGATGATCAGTCGTTTCCATATGAAAGTGTTTTATTCCCAAGCTTATCAGAAAAGGTACAGGAATCACTGACGAGAAAATCAATATTTAGAAATATTCCTTTTATTTTAACTAAATAAGATATATTTTTCTTGCATGATTTATCAATGACCAGGAAGTTATCTTTTATACGTCGTTCTGACATACGTTTCCTTCTTTTTTAACATATTTTTATTGCTATACATGTATAATGAAACAGTTCTATGATTTATTCAATCTTATTTTCTTGCTGATGATATTGCAGGGGGCGTACGATTTAAAGCTGATTTATACTCAAGAAGACATTAAACACGTCATTGAGCATGCGCGACTACGGGGAATCAGGGTCATACCGGAGTTTGACACTCCTGGGCATACGCAGTCATGGGGAAAAGCGTTCAGATGTAGGATTTTCTTAAATTTGTTTGATTAATAGAATGAATAATTGATGAATTAAAAAGAGTTTTGAATTGATTTTAGATCTCTTGACGCCGTGTTGGGTTGATGGAAAAGAAGGTGTTGCTAAACCAAACTTCCACGGGGCATACGAAATCTTCGATCCATCAAGAGACTCGACATTTCAATTCCTTAAGAAGTTTATTGGTGAAATTGTCCGGGTTTTTCCAGACCAATACCTGCATCTTGGAATGGACGAGTCTTATCCTGCTTGTTGGTAAGGGATTAAATTTTATTGCAAATTAATCCAAAATAATTTATAATGCTCAAATGCTGTAATATTCTTATAATGGTAACATAGGTAGGAGCTCTTAAATTCGAGAGGGCGAATACTGATTGATTGTAAGATAAATAACTTTTGTATGATTTATTCCTATTAAGCTAATAAATTATTATAAAGAATAGAATAAAGCGGTAACGTTAATCCATAACCTCTTTTATGTATTTTTTTTTACTTGCCCCTATAATATTACCCCCTTCTTTATTATACATACTTTAGCTCTATTGTTCTGTCTGAACTTCCGTGAGAAGGAATTAATTTCTTGAAACAATTATTTATATTTCAATTCTACAAATTTATAATGATTTCACAATATATAAATGATTAGATTACCATTTTGTAGATCCTCAAAATTTTACTATCACTGAGATTGACTGTATTGGTGCTGATTTTACAGGAAGTCGAGCCCAAACATCACTGCCTTCATGCAAGAGAATAACATTACGTCATATGTAGAGCTGATGCAGTATTATGTGACAAAAGTGTTGGATATTGTACAGAATACTAACAAAAGTTACGTCATCTGGCAGGATCCCATCGAGGAGGGAACCCAGGTATGTCTCCCGAAGACGGCTTCTAGCCTACTCTATTTAGAGCATGGAACCTCTTAATGGAAAACAAGAGCAGGTATGTCTCCCGAAGACTGCTTCTAGCCTACTATATCTAGAGCATGGAACCTCTAAATGGGTAACAAGAGCAGGTATGTCTCCCGAAGACCGCTTCTAGCCTACTCTATCTAGAGCATGGAACCTCTTAATGGAAAACAAGAGCAGGTATGTCTCCCGAAGACGGCTTCTAGCCTACTCTATCTAAAGCATGGAACCTCTTCATGGGAAACAAGAGCTCATTTATAAGAAAGTAGTATCTTAACATTCCCTTTCGGTATGACTTTCCTTGGAATTAGGTATAGTGATTTAAACAAACAAAAAATATAGCAATGTGTAACAAAGCATAAGATCACAGTTGGAAGTAAAAGTCGATTTACTTGTGCAACTAAACCTCATCCTATCATCGTAAGTAACAGCAATATCTCCTACATGTTCCCTCGCGTTCAGATCTCCTGTAATACATTTAACAGGACCTGTTTAAAGGGACGCTGTAGCGAGGACACAATACTTACATCCAGAAAATTTCTACTGACACACAAACCGTTCACGGTAGCTCAGTCGGTAGAGCGCTCGCTCCGTGATCGGGAGGTCGTGAGTTCGAATCTCGGCCGCGACTGACCTAAGTCGATAAAAAATGGGTAGCAACTGTTCCTTCGCCATGCGCTCGGCACTTTGAAGTGAAAGTTGCGGGTCCTTCGGATGAGACCTTAAAAACCGAGGCCCCGTGTCGCGACAGACGTTGGCACGATAAAGATCCCTCACTGCTCAATGGCCCTGAGTGCCGAGTAAAAGTCAAAATTTGAAGCCCTTCACCGGTATATGGTGACGTCTCTATATGAGTGAAAATTTCTCGAATGCGACGTTAAACAACATACAATCAATCAATCAATCTAATGACACACAGTTTTTGAGTATGCATATTCACAAACAATAAGACTTCGCCAGCTAGTGTAGCATGCCCAGAAAAAATCTTAATTTTTATGATACCAAGACTTTAACTTTTATGCAATATATAGGGCGTTCTAGACGGATATAAAAACAACAAACTAGGGTGAATTAAATGTGCTCCTTAATCAAAGTACCTTGACTTATTTTACTGTACATGTTTGATTTTTAGTCAAGGAGAAAAAAAATATTCTTCGTAATTTCATTAATTTCGATAAATGAATTCTTATCCATGGACCAAAGAAACTTAAGATACTGTGATTTGTGGGTAGATTGTCCTGACAGTATACTTTTTACTCAGGCTAAACCTGACACGGTAGTGGAGGTATGGAGAGGAAATACAACGGTTCCCTTTCAGAGCTACATGAGTACGATCTCCAGTAAGGGCTATAAAACCATCCTGTCCTCCTGTTGGTACCTTAACTACATCAGCTACGGGCAGGATTGGAAAAAATACTACGAGTGCGAACCGTACAACTTCACAGGTAAGTCATAGGAAATGAACTATCAGGATCTAGGAAATGTTCTTCTAAGCTTCACGGAATATTAAGTACATAATGAAGGAAAAACTTCAGCATTACTGCGAAAACTACATATTCTAGGTGTGGATGTTAAAAAAAAAAACTCCAAAGAACTTTTAGGAAACTTCCACGCGACCATCAAAATAAAGGAGCTAATGGAAGGTTTGATTTTAATCAGACTGTTTGAAATCGCTAAAGATGGGCAAAAAAGGCGCGCAAAATGCTTATTGTGCGACCCAAAAAAAAAAAATGAAAAATGAAATCATAATTAGAATTATTTTTTTGATATTTCATTGAACATTAACGAATACTTTATGTAAAATCTCCACAGTTGTAACAATCCGACAAACATTGATATTATTCGTCTATAAAATAGCATACCCATGCACACAAAAGAGGGCAAAAGCCCTAACCCTAAAAGGGCAAAAGTGATCATTTAGTAATTACTATATCACAATTTTTCCATGTGAGTGGGTCTCCGTTCATTTTTTTTTTTTTTGGATCAAAGTATGTGTAAACATTTCGGTTATCAAAAACATGGAGCAAAGACCCATTATACCTTAAAAATACACTTTTATTACACAACATTCGTACCTTTCCGAAAAATAATTGAAGTCCATTTCATCAAGGGTTATATGACAAACATGATTTAAATGCCACTACATGTATTTGTCATGACCTATGTAGCGTAGTGGTTAGCGTGTTAGTTTCAAAGAAAAAAAACTGATACTCTGGATTTTTATTGCTAGAGTTCGAACCCCCATAAAACCATATTTTTTTTTCCAAATCATAGAAATTCAATGATTTTTGTTGAAAGAATTTTCCGGATAAAAGTTTTGTTCTTCATAATTTCATACCTTTCAATAGTAAGAGATGTAATCTAAATACTAAATTCATAAATTAAATTTGATTTTTATACATTTGAAGCTATAGGCATTTTGCACCCTTGTTCGCCCATATTCTTTGCTAAAATCAATTGCATCAAAAGTCAAAACATGGTTTTTCGTCATTTTATACTACCATTTCTCATCATAAATAAGGATCAGGCTTTTTGACATCATTGTTAACTGTTCCTCAATAAAAAGGGAACTCGGAAATTTTCGTATATTATGATTGGTCATCAACAAAATTACTTAATTGTTAAAATCATTTTGATTCTACACATACGTAAGTACTCTGAGGTTTTCATTAAAAGATGCTAGATGATGGAGTCCTTGGAGACTAGGTCTTCCAAATATCTGTTGAAAATCCCATGGGTACTAATTGTGCCCCATTATAAGCAAACCTGTTTTTGTATTCTCATGAAGCAGAATTTTTTTCGTAAACTTCTAGATGAAAAGAAGAAGCCTCTTGCTGAGGCCTTCAATTCGGCATTTCGATGCTAGTATATCGACGACGTTTTATCAATTAACAAAATTCATTTTGATATGGTATATCCCACAGAACTCGAAATATTTTAAGACGCCACATAGAACGACACATAGAATGTGAAGTTACAAACTGTTACATTTTTAAATAAAAAGGATTCGAAATGAATAACTGTGACTGATGCAAATGATTAACCCTAACCCTGACGCAAATGATTGCTGATATATTGTTAAATTCAACAATATTGCGCATTAGGATGCAGAGTTTTAATATTTGAAATTTGTATTTATTAACCAACCTTAGAATACTTATAATGATTTATGTTGAGAACAAAATTGGTTTGTTCACGGTGGTTAAAATAGTCTCGTGTGGTTTAATGCATTATATGTTTATCAGATTAGTTAATATTTATCAGTCCAAAACTTTTTTAGCACGAGCATCGGTATAATTTACGCCTCGCCTTGCCGAGAACCTTGGGCATGTCGTTGACGTTTTATGTTATGAAACCAAAAGTTATACTCAACCGGATGCTTCATCAAAGCGCTGCCTATGATATGTTTACCGAATAGACATCGCAACCTCTCGGGCCTTTCTGACCTCGAGATGATCGCTCGGATTGAATTGGGATGTGTGGTTGGGGATGGATGTTTACATGTACTTGCAGGGTCTAAACTTGTTGGTAAATCCTGCGATTTTAAGTAAGCGGGTGGAGTTTGTTAACTTTTTCACAAGCAATCATACACCATCACAAAACTTTAATAATTAATGAAAATATTTATTGGAAACTGAGACTAGTAAATGAAAAAAAAATAATTGAGGAAGCTTATGAAAATTTTAATCCGTATTATCCTCTTCTAAATTCATAGAACTTTGAAAAATATGCAATATTCAGCGGAGAAAATTGCCAAGAACATAAAAAAATAAATTGTGAAAAATAAGTTGTAAACATGCTTATAACAGACTCAGACTGTCGATGGTAAGTCAAAATTTATTCGTTACCAATGCCACTTACGGTAAATGGATTAGACAGCAAGTGTCTAGTTTCCGTGCAGAAGACCAAGTTTGTATTTTGTAAGTCTAACATTTCTAGAATACTATAGAATTTTATTAAATATGTCCTCATAAATAATACATTTTTACAGAATTGTTTCGAATACTAGACGATTTTTAATTTCCCTATTAGTTTCAGAAGTACAGTATTTAATTAAGATCGTCTTAAATCCACACTGGGTGGGTGGAGATCAGATCTAAGAAGACCTTATTTCATTTAGGTTGCAGAGATATTTTTATTCCATTTAAGATTAAAAAAAGAAAGAATGCCAATAAAAACACGTCTCTCTACAATCAAGAATATTGCATGAAAAGTAGGTGCCAAATAGTCAGTACCTGCAGGTCTCTGTGTAAAGTGTGCTAGACTCGGAAATTATTATTGTCATATTCTTCCATTTACTCATTCGTACATTTAAATTGTTTGCCTGGTCAGTTATAAACACTTTTTGAAACTTGGTTTCCTTGTTTCCTTGTTTACCTCCCAGTAAGGGTAGTAGCATATAATTTTAAACTGAAGTACTCAATACCTCGAAAATACAGAATCTCTACATTTTTTTAACTCTATAGTTTCGTAGTTTGGTTAACTAGAAAACTGGGGATAAAGAGTTTTAATTCTGATCAAATTAGATTACCTCTTCTCCTAATTCATAATAATTAAAATTGAAAATGTTCACACACGTTAAATAATAGCTGTGAAAAAAACGTTACATACCACTGTTTATTCTTCAGCATTTCTGAAACCAGAGATGACATTTTAGGCTTTCTGTAAAACCATATTGTATATTAATGTTTCCAATCTTGGATTTGAAGGAACCGCGGAGCAGTACAGCAATGTGATTGGTGGAGAAGCTTGTGTGTGGGCGGAGTATGTTGATGGTACCAATCTTCTCTCCAGACTCTGGTATTTTAATTAATCCATTTTGTGTTAAATGACCGACAAAATCATAACAGATAAAGTAACTGACATTGATTGTCTACAGGCCAAGAGCGTCCGCAGTAGCGGAACGACTTTGGAGCCCACGTGACGCCACCGATGTAGAGAGTGCAAAGTTCAGACTAGACCAACAACGATGTAGGATGCTGAGGTAGGAAAGATAACCTTACAAGGAATATTGCAGATATTGTTTAATAATTGCATCTAAATTGAACTGTTTAAGGGACAAATTGAAATGACATTTGACAGGCGAGGTATCCCGGCTCAGCCGATATTGGATGGTTACTGTGGGGACTATGAATTCGGGTTTCCGGGCAGTAATGGTATATACGAGAGGTCAGAGACGGCACAAAGAACATCGACCGTGACTAACTCAGTGACCCGGACTCTGTCCTCACTCTTGTTTATTACTTACTTATATACGTTTACAGCTCTTACATTGTGAAACAATAAGTACATTTTTTATCTTAATTAACATATCTATTGAATGAATGTGTTTGGATTCTCGCTTATTCGATGCTAACATGTATATTACTCGTTTGTTACAGAATAATGCTGTGTTTTATCCCACATACTCATCTTGGTTCGCTAGATAACACTGTTTAGACCTGAGTTTTAAATCATTTCTAGCAAGAATATATTAATATTTGTCGATATGGTATAATCGACAGGGTCAGGGGGCCTTCATATAATGCAAGATTAATAAGTAATAGAGATTAGGTTAGACTGAATGTACATGTATGTAGAAGTAATCAAATTTCAGTAACATGTGAACACCTAAAATTTCCTTTGCTATCAATCAATTTATTATTGTTAATGTTTCATGTATAAAAAAAAAATGCTATATATAAACTCCAAGAACCATAGCACCATTTGAATTTCGATCGAGCTCGTTGTACGGAGTTAGAAGACACGTGAATTCAGAAAGTGTTTATCTTAAAACATGGAGACAACCAGAAAAAGCATAAAACGTTCAACAGGCATATCTGTATTTTTTTTTATTGATAAATCATGATAAATCTCTGTCCGATATCATTAATACCTGTTCCAATTCATCATTTTTCCGCTACAAGTAATATTGTTTTGTTATGGTATTCTTTGGCCATATGATGATTTTTCCAGGCTTAAATTACACCTGTACGTGTCTAAAAAATCTATGACAGGTGAGTGATAGACAAAATGGAACGAAGACCATTGACATAGCGTACTACAGCAATTAATATACTTCACATTTCACAATATAAAAAAATAATTTTTCTAAACAAAATACCATTAGTTTTTTTGAGACTATATCTTTAGTATGGGTTGCAACATTTAACGTAATGCATCCAATACAAATGACTGTTTCAAATGTATACATATACCAATAACGCATACATGTATTTTAAATTTGCACTATTTGTTTAAGTTTTTTTCTGAAATAAAATGTAGAATATTGGAAAAGTAAAGAATATCAGTGTATTTTGGTTGTATTGTCATTATCGTTGAAATTGTTCTAATTGAAAATTGAATGATCATCGGACATTAATGGCTGTATTATTGACATTTTACGATAACGTATTACAGCTTAGAAGTTAACGTCCACACCGACACTACAATAACACCACACGGTCCGAGCCACACCTGACCACCAGAACTGGACGTAGTCCTTTATATCAGGGGAATTATGGGGGTTTTATTCCAGAACTAGGCCTACATTTAACACCAGAAATTAACAAATCATTAATCCATTATATTGGTCTACCAGAAAAATGATAATATAATGAATGGGAAACAATTAAATATTCGCACTGATATTTATACACAGACAAGATAGAACTATATACTCCCAGGTATAGATGTGTCCATATTGAATGTGTCGTTAAAACAGATTTTGTTTAAAATTAGCTGTTAATCATGCAAAGTACAATTGACAAAAAATTACAAGCAAGTATTCGCAGAATGTGTTTTCCGACATTTGCTACATATAATCATTAATTATATTCAAAATCCATTCTAATTTTAAATTCTCAAACTTTTAGTGAATAGCACTAAATTTGAAAGAATTTTTTGGTGAATTTCAATAATTATCAAACACCCCGTTTGAAAAAAAGGGGGAGAGATCTAGCTATATACACATGCAGTTTTCTAAGAAAAATTATTAAATCAAATTTCAAGCCTTCAAAATTTATTTCATAAATTGGGGCCCGGACGAATTAATATAGGTCTAGTTCTAACGTTAGCTCTTCTGATATTGTCAACGGGTTGATTCTCCATCAACACAGTAGCACCAGACTGATCCTGGAAAAGATTTGTCCCTAAATCCCGTCTCCGGTTTCGGAGAATAGAAAGCCCTGAATTAGGGCGACGGAATGGAATAACCTGTCTGTTTGTTTGAGTGGCTGGTATCAATGCGTTACTGGTCTGAACAGTGGTAAACTCGTTTGGAATTCTTGTCTCTATTGGGTTCAAAACATTTGCACCGCCATTAATAAACCCTGGTAGATCAGAAAACACGGAAAATCCGGAGTCAACATCCTGCTGTGTGTCACGGAAAGCTGATATTAGTCGATTATCTGGTGACTGGTTCCCTAGGAAGTTGTTGTCTTGTCCCCTACCCCCAGCAGAGAGGATCCTCTCGTTTGATAACTGGGGATCTCTAAATATAAACACAGTATTATCATTGCCGTTAGTTTCCCCCCGCCGTTCTTGGAAAACTGGCAGATTTCCAATGAAGCGTGGTTCTGGCGGGAAAAAATCACCATCGTCACGTGGGGTTTCCACAAATGTACCGTTCTCTGAAATTCTCTGTACACTTCTGTTAGTAAATCTTGGGATTAAAGAGCGAACCGTTTGTCGAGTCCTGGGAAACCAGCAGTAACTTCCGGTAAAACTATGGCAACAAATCTGTGGTGCGTCACATCCGGCATCGTCAAAACAGTCGACTGAAAACTGCTGGATCATGTTCAGTCGGGGATCTGGGCAGGTTCCATCTCGAGGAAGGTTGAAGACTGAGAATAAAATATATAAGAGCCAATACAGCGCGTTGAGTTTTAATGCAGTAAAAAAAAGTCTGCGAAATCAGGGAAAGATGGATGAGCGGTACAAATTAACTTTCCATGCAAGTGATTTAGTCGGATAAATTATCAAACACATAAGATTGTGTAGAAATGGTTTCAGATGACAATTGTTACCCGTTCTCAAGCCCATGGTTATTGTTTTCCCCCAAATACCTTTGGTTATGTAAACTTTTATTTGTCAGTGAATGTTAACTTATGTGACCTCTATGAAGTGATATATTGTTCAAGAAATAATCATAAAAAATAACTTGTAAGAAACAAAATGGAATCAAGAAGTATTGGAGATCGATACTGATACGTAATAGAGATCAATACTGATATGTAATAGAGATCTATACTCATACCTAATAGAGATCGGTAATGATGCGTATTAGAGATCAATACTGATATGTAATAGAGATCGACAATGATACGTATTAGAGATCGATACTAATACATGTATGTCATAGGATCGATGCTGATATGTAATAGAGATCGATACTGATACGTACAAGACACCTGTAAAAATAGGAACCTTACCATTTAGAAATCGATACTGATATGTACAAGACACTTGTATAAGAAAGCTTACCAGTGAGACAGGAGGGCTCCTTTAGAAAACACGGTCCAGACTCGCGGCAGTTCTGATAGGAAAGGTCACATGTCTCTCCAAAATTACACTCCACAATCTAAATACAAATGATAATCAAGTCAACTAGTTCTATAGCAGACTGTGCAACGTACTATCAGGCTTCGAAAGTTATTTTATAATAAGTGTTTTCATTATTTTCTTTACTTACATTATCATTAATACAAAATCAAGCAATTATTTTTACTTCGCTTTATTTGAAGAGGCAAACATTTACACCAAGGGACACTGAAACATCGGTATTATTTTTTTTTATGTTTCGTTTTGTTACATTAGCTCATATGAGCTTTTCTGATCAAAATTTATCCGTTGTCTGTGGTCGTCGTCGTTGTTAACGTTTTACAACTTCATATTCTTCTCCAAAAGCACTGAGTCAATTTCAACCAAACTTGTCAGAAAAAATCCTTGGGTAAATGGGATTTAAATTTGTTCAAATGAAGGGTCACACCCTCTTTCAAGGAGAGATAATTAGGATAAATGTGAAAATTAAAAAAAAATCTTTTGCTATAACCATTGGGTATCTTGTAAAGTTGATAAACGGATGGAATACAAATATAATTGCTTGATTGAAAAGAATCGATATAGTCAAAATTAGATCAAAATAATAAAGCAATAAATTTATTAATATCACTCACCGAACAGGAATGCCGGCGGACAACGTTAATCCATGGATTCCGAAATCTGACTTGAGCATCTCCAAACTGTATTAATCCAAGGGCCTGAAGGAAAAAAATATTCTCTGTTACTCGTTAATATTAACAAGAAAAAAAAACAAAATTACAATTGATCTCCATATTATCTTTCAAAATTTAATTAAAATTACCTTACCCATAGAAAGCAGTGGAAAATAGAAAACCTCATTTTAATACAGTCTGGATTCCCCAAAGAACATATTTGACCATAAGTCAGGCAGAATGAACATCGAACCCGAGGTCAATAAATGTTCCTGAATGAGCCATAACAGTAAACGAAGCCCAATAACACAGAGAAGTCGTAATTCAGTGATGGTAGGAGGGTCAATCGGTTTGTCTGGGGCGCCCAATCGCTTCCTGATTCCAGATCACAAGAAGTTCGATTAACTCGTGTTTCTGGGATCTTACACGATTTTTCACGTCCACATTGAAGGTTTTATTTAACAAGGACAACACAGTTTCTGGCTTTTGTAATTCTGAAAAGATGAGTAAGTTAAGATGAAATTTTGTCCGTCAAGCAATTCTTTTCAACATTGAATTTGCGATCATACTTGAAATAATACATAGAAATAGACAAATGAATATAAATTCTTCATTGTTAAATCTGGGAACTATTAATTAAAACGTATACATATCAATATCATAGTCACACTGAATTTTCTTGTTTATCTGTTACTGATGTATGTATTTCTTTACTTTAATTATTTTTAAAGTTTCAGTAAAATTGTTATATATAATTTTGGTGATATTTGTGTATTAAGAATCATTCTGTTATCGTGTGTGAACCGTAAAAAATAAAACAAATCCTATGTACCATATAGATTTGTTCAACATTAGATGACCAACATAAAATATAAAGTATGAGAGAAAATTATGCAAGCAATATGAACCTTAAAGTGGGTCAATATTGTTAATGGACAAGTGTACATATATCTTAATTGAATAAAAACATAAACAAATGATGATTACTGCGCAAGGAACACAGATTATTAATTACAATTTATATGACAGACTGTTACAATGTACTTAAATCCTTACCTGCGGTCAGGAAGCAACAGGTATGAGAAGACCACAGGTGATAACATTACAATTAATTACTATTTCTTTAATTGTATTTTATTGTGTTTGAGTGCATTTCTACAGCTAGATAGGACTTTTAAAACTATTTTTGTCGTTCAGATTACTGAAGTTCTGCACACTTTACTATTTAGGCATTGCTTCACACCTTTGCAAATTCATAAGGCCTCGCACAAATCAACAAAAGGTCAGCTTAAAGGTTTGGGGTCCATACTTATGACCTTTTATAAATTAACAACTTTTTGTCTGTGTTCAATTTATGAAAAATCGATCAACTGAACTAGGTTTTAACAGACATGGTATACATTTTGTGTATATTTAGAGAGAGAGAGGGAGAGAGAGAGAGAGAGATGAAATGCGTCTAATTTTGAGGGATTTTTGTCATGAACTCATGCTACACTCATAAGATTGAAATATGAGTAGAAAACTGGATACCCAAGGGAAGTAATCAATATTGTGTAAGATATTCTGTTTTAGAAAGAGAAGTTGTCCCGCTTACTCCTTCGTTGACTACCCCCCACCCCACCCCACCCCCAAAAAAAAAATCAAAATCAAAAATATATCTGAAAAAAAAAAATCTCAATATTTTTTTTTTTTTTTTTTTTTTTTTTTTTTTTTTTTGAATGTAGGTTTCGGTTAAAAAAATTTGAACTCATCTGTGTTCCTCAACTGTCACTGATTCTCTCTCTCTCTCTCTCTCTCTCTCTCTCTCTCTCTCTCTCCACAAAACCCGAGGACAGAAGCTGCTCCCCACAAACCTGAGGACAGAAGCGGAATTAGTATGATAATTATTAAAAAATATGCAAAAGAAAGAAAAAAAACTAAAAACAAAGAAAAAAAGAATAGAATAATCAATCAAGTATTTCATTACACTTGATATGATATTTGACAGACTTTTGAATTAGAATTGCGACATACATTTTGATTAAAAAAAATAAAGCGTGGCACCAATGGCAATCATAATCTATAAAATGTCGAGACATTTTCTATTTAGGCACTCGAGTTTCTAAATGATGTAGGCAAGGAGTGAGGTGGGTGAAAGGGCGCCTTCACTTTTTGCAGGAAAAAATAAATTCAGATTCGAACATTTATGAAATTTCAGAGGCAGGAATATGGTCCTACTGCACCTATTTTAAATTTGTTACATGCCCGGCTTACACTGGCCATATGAAATGGGACTCCCATATGTTACTGTACTGAAAGAATTAAATATATATTTATAGCCATTACCACACATCAAGTCTACCGAAGGCATCATTTCAACGGAGGACAAATGAATAATTTATAACCTGTTTTAGAGTTTGCGATTTATTGTCGTAGAAGAGTTTAATAATCACGCTTTTTTAAATTGGGTTTAAAAACCGTGTACATGACTTTGAAATTCGTGCTTTGCAAACAATAGAGCTTTTCGGTCAATATTCAGTGTGGTAGACCTATTGATCAACAAAAAATTTAATTGCTTCTGCTGAGAGACTTTAAGAAAAAATAAACAATACTCTGATAAAATATTTTCTAAGTACACATTTTGCAATAGATTTTGAAACTTATACGCTTTAAAAAAATGCATTCAGAACTTTTTTTTAAAGAAAAGGAAAGGTTATTTCATAACAGGACAAAAAAGGCATTTTTTGATTTAATTCGTAATTCAATACCAGTGTTAAGTTTGTTTAAATCTAACAGGGTGAAGCCCTTCTTCCTTTCATTGTATATGTATTGTACAAAGGAGACCACGTTCAGTTCTGATGTATTCTTATCATACATTGAATCTGTAGTCTGGATTTTTTTTTTCAGTCATTATATATGTTAAAAATTTTATAATATATTGTAGATCTTTTCTGATCTTCTATCTCATTGTCTGTTTACGTTAAATGTGGCCAGTCACTGAGTGTTTATCGGTAACATTAACTTGTATCAATTTGAATTGTTAGCCAAAGCTTATTGCAGACAATGCGTAGGCATGATAAATATAAAATTAAAGTATGTTCCATTTGGGGTTTAAGAGATGCATGTAGATAGAATGGACGTTCTAGATATGATCGTAGATTCAGACCATGCATGAACACAAATATAAAGTTCCATATTTTTTATCTTTTGTGGTAAAATAAATGGCTTTGACAAAACTAAGACTCAAAATATACAGTCAGTAACCCAGTCTTTGTGATACAAATTGTTTTTCCCAATGATAATAATAATCATAATAATAAAACACAAAATTTAGCAGTTTTGATATTATATCCGAAAGGATATCAATGTAGACACGTTGTACAGTGTATGTGAAGTTGACGACCAAAAAAAAAAGAAAGAAAAAAAAGGGAGAAAGGGGTGGGGAGGGTAGGTTCCACCCACACTTTAAAAAAATCGAATTAACATAAAAAAAACTATGTTTATAAATATTAACTAAGGAAATCCCTTTGCCCCTTGTTCGTACTATATACATGCCTGAAACATTTCTGTGACAATGTATTTATCACTGAGCTAGTTATGTATTGGAGCATGCTAGGAAAATCAATTTACATTAAATTAGCATCTTAATTGGAAGTATTCCCTCTGAGTGGGTATATTTATAAGAGAAAGAAATAGTCACATAGAGATGGAACATTTTCCTCTAATAAATCATTTTTGAATATGACCTTTAAAACAGAATGAAATTATATTTTTGACTATGCTTGTCGTTTAGCAATGTACTTATTCATTCATAGTTTCTGAAAGAGTGGGGTTACATAATTAATATACGTTTGGGATGCAACATAAATAAAAAAGAAAAAAATATATATAATTTTATTTTAATCTTTCAGAACAAGGATACAAGATTTTTTTGGAAGATTGGCTTGTATTATTTAGATTTTTCATAGATTATTGAATCAAGGCGCAGTTTATCGGTTTTTAATTTCGATGAAAATGTTGCCCTGTTTACATGGAACAAAAATATGAGTGGAATACTATCAATTTTAATTTCATTAAATCTTTAAACAATGCAATTTATGATTTCTGCTTTGACCCAAAATAACAAAATTGATTAGTGAAGTTCCCATATTACACAGTCTGGAATTTCTTAATATCTTTTTCGTTTATTGCCCAGGTATTACCCCAGAGACCGCAGGTATTATTTTGTTCAAATCGCAGAGTGTTTAAGCTATCTTCCTGACAATTCAATTGATTACATTTAATTAGACATCAATGAAACAGAAACTAAATAATAAACGAGCTCTTAATATACCACTTAGTTGTACAAATATCTTTCCTGAACAAGAAATGGGGTATGACTACTAAAAGCATGATGGAATTTATGTAACACCGATATCAGTACGGAAATATTGATCCAATTTTAGTAATAATTATTTCATCTCCATAGAGTTATATCTGGTATTGTTATATCAGAGTAATAATAAAACAAATACTCAGTCCAGTACATTAAGAGACATTTGTCGATTATTAATCCATCTATATGCCCTTTTAACAAATCAAACATTTACTATTTTAAGCGGTGATGTGCCACATAAAACTCTGCTCATAATTTGTAATGTTTAAATGGACTTCTGAGATTGATCTCTATTCGTTATCTTCAAATTTCATGTAACAGATCAAACAGGAATTAATACATTAATTATAAAACAGATGTTTTTTATACAAGGTACATATTTCTATCATAAAAGATTGTAGGTTGACATATTTTATATACTTATAGAGATACTTCTATGATGTACTGATATATTGAATATTTTAACGACAGAACTCGTCTTCAACATTACCTGAATTCTGCATTACACACTACCTTCTTTACATACCAGAATCAATTACATTCTTTGTGGCAAGACAGCATAAAGTTATTCGTAATATTTAGTGATTTTATGGTAAATAATGTAGTAAGTTAAAGATCCATTAAATTGTGATAAATGTTCCCGCTGTAAATTCTTTAAATATCATAAACGTTTCTCTGAAATGATTTTTGAATTGATTCCAATATCTGTTGTACTCTATGTCACAAAAACCACGTAAGATTTAAGAGCCATTCTCTGTAATGACTTGAACTTTTATATAGGAGCTGTGGCACGCATAGTCTCAGAATTTCTCCAAACTCTCTATGATAAAAGTCTATGATACCGTAAACTCAAATCAGGCAAAAATTGGTTGCTATGTGTCATGGTTACCATAGCAACATGTCCTAACGTTTGAAAAATGGCATTTTTCAATATGTTCAGAGTCCCCCAGTTAACGTTTGCAGCAAAGCAAACAAGTGGCAATGGCTGTTTCTGA